CACCTGCTGTGTCAGGGGCTCACCCTGACCTTAGCCCACTGCTGTCCTGACTTTGTTGTCTAATACCGCACATAGCAAGGCACGCATTTTCGCATGGCTGTTCATGAACTCGGCCAGGAAAGGGATTAAGAAAATGGCTTGGGGTTCAGATAATCCTTCTGTTTAAGTCCCAGTTCCTGAGCCCACAGACTGGGCAGCTTTAGGGCCCCCTTTTTGCAGCCTTACCCTGGGGCGGTGACATGGCCTTTCTCGTGGGCATGAGGACTAGCAAGACGATGGCTGTGAGAAGCTAACGCAGGGACTGGCGGGCAGTTCACATCGTGGGCTTCAGTGGGCGCTGGTTGCTGTTACCACGGTCAATGTCATTGTCGGCTGCTGGGCCCCAGTTGCAGAGATAAACCCCAGGAGCCTGGACTCAGACCCCAGGTCCGCGCCCTGAGCTGTGTGGCCTTGGGTGAGTTACTGGAATGCTCGGTTCTGTAACATGAGGATAGGAAGGAAAGCTGCCTGGGGGTGGGGGGCTATTAGGACTAAAATAATGAGTCAGATAACGTCATTTGCTGGCTAAACGATAGATGTCGTCATTGTTATCATCATCACCACCGTCATCTCATCTAATCCTCACGTATCCTTGTGAGACTTCCCACCCTCCAGTCCACAGGATGGAACGCTGAAGCCCAGAAACTCTGGGAAATCTGCCCAAAGTCTCATTACACTAAGTGGTAGATTTAGAATTGCAGTCGGTCGACCTGGCCTGCAGCTCCAGGGGTAAGAGAGGCTCAGAGCTCTGGGGGCCCCGGGGCCCGTCTCAGGAGGTCCGGGACACACCAGAGACGCCTCCATCGCAGGGACTGTGGCTGGATGTCGCTGCAGTCTGTAGAGGTGCGATCTGGGCTTTGCCGGGGCTCGGCTGGGGGGTGTGGGGTGGCGCCGTTAAAGATGACCCAGCACAAAACATGCCCTGGGCAACTGTCCATGCCCTGGGCAACTGTCCATCTGTAAAACTATCCTCTCGCAAATGTTCTCCCGGCTTAATCCAATCACCCGGCTGTCACCCAGCATCCTTCTCCCAGCAGTGGTTGGGTCCCGAACGCACCAGGAGGTCGGGCTGCACACTGCCTGGAGCTGAGGTGATGACACCAGATGTGCCTCAGGGAAGGGGCTGGACCCCCCGTACCCCACGGGCTGAAACAGGGAGACCACACCAGGGGCTGTCATCGGTGGGAGGAAACGAATGTTGGCTAGTCAAAGCCAACCGGTGTCTGCCCTTGTGGGGTCTTGGGTGGCCTTGGAGGCAGGGAAGAGAGCGGTTTTCTGCCCCAGAGTGGAAACAGCACCAGGGTGCAAGTCAGGAGAGCAGACGACCCCACTGTGCCCTGGCCCACCCGTGTCTGCCATCTCTCTGGCCTCAGTGTCTTCGTCACGGAGGTGGGTGAGAGGATGGATTCCACGCTAAAGTTTTGAAGTGCTATAGGGTCTTTGTATGGGGTGTGTTAGCAAGCGCTGCAAATTGCACCCCGAAAGGGTTGTGGAGGAGAACCTCAGACGTCACCCTGAGTTTTTGTGGCTGAGAAAGTCCCTGGCGGCAGCTGTGCGTCTCTCCCTGGTAAAGCTGGCGTGCGAAGCCGCAGCTTCTGCGGAGCGTGACTCTGACTTCGGAAGTCCTTCACGTTCTTCTTCTTTTTCCCCCAGGCACCACCACATCGGCCCCCCCGAGTCTGTCCCAGCTCTTCGTGCGGTGAGTACCCCGCCTCGTGTCCTGCTTTCTCTGGAGGGCGGAGGTTCTGGAGAGCACCCCAGCACCAGCACTTAGTAGTAGAACCACCTTGAGCCCAGAACCACCCAGCCTCAGGCTCGCCACCTGCAAAAGGGAGCCGGACAGACCTTGCTGCCCCGTGCACCAGCCAAGCATGCAAACGGCACTCAGAACGGGCCTGGACCAGTGCGGAGAGCGCTGGCTCTCATTTTCTCTTTTTTTCCCTTTGTTCATGTTTCAATCTTCCTTTCCTTTCTCCTTTCCTGGCATCAGCTGTTTGTCAGTTCCTCACTCCCTCCTTCCCTGTATCTTTCCCTCTTCTTCCTTCTCTCTTTCCCTCATCCTTCCCCTCTCCATATCCTCCCTCCCCCCTGCTCCTTTCATCCTTTGCACCGACATTACCCAGCACTCCCTGCGGTCAACCCCAGGCTGAGCCCTGGAGACTTGGAGGTGGTGAGACCATCCCCTGAGCTCACAAAGCTTCCAGGCTAGTGAGGAGACAAGCCAGTGACTAGAAGCCTCGATGCGGAGGGCAGCCTGACCACCCCTCAGGGTACTGATCAGGATGGGGGCTCACTGATGGTTGTCAAGGCTCCTCCAGATACCTCCCTCTTGGGGTGCTGCCCGCTGCATGGCGCAGAGTCCTGCATTTGGCCTGGCAAGTGGGTCAGGCCACTGAGTGTTCAGCTCTGCCATGTCTGAACACCTTCTCCCTCGGGAACCTGGAGAAGTTTATTCTAAGGAACAGGTCTGTAGCCGACCTTTCCCTCCAGGTGTTTGAGGCTGTCAGTAGCCGCTGAGGTCTGTTAGAATGAGGTTTCTCCCAAGCCTCAGGGCTGGCGAACTCTCTCGGAGTTTTCATTTCAGCCCTTGCTTCCCCCCAGCAGGATAAATTGGGTTTGATGGGAAGCAGAAGTTGATGATCTCAGATTTCCACCTTCTAAGGACAGGTGTAAATTGGGAACATATTCAAATACAGTTCTCCACTTGGCACTGGGTCCTGACCTGTTGGGTGTGCTTCTAGGCACCTCACAGAGCAGGAGTATTGACTGGTGAAAAGCTTTCCAGTGTTGCTTCTGGCTTCTCCTCCACAACTGAGTTTCTTACGCACTTTGCAACCAAGTCCCCAAGCATTCGCCATGGCATTGCTCAAAAAGAAAGGCAGGAGAAGACATTGTGATCACACCAGAGAAGGCACGCAGCCTTCTCACCTCCACCATAAGGAGGACGCTGTCATTGAACCTCTTTCACCAAAGTGGTTTAACCAAAATGGAATCAGGTGCACCTTTGGAAATCTCATGAGCAATGACTGCTAAATATGCCAGTTAGAATAGTCAGACGCAGGCTGTCAAGCCCAGAAGGCTTTAGTATCCAGGTATTTGAACTGGAGGGTATGGGATGGGCACCGAGCCAGGGTTCAAGTTTGGTATCTGCCTTGTGCTTTCAGTTTGTTACTTAGAGCAGTTTGCTTGTCTACAAAATGGGGGTAAGAGTAGCTACCACCATGTGTCATCAGCACGGGGATGAGGTATAAATGAGCCAGTTCATGTGAAGTGAGGACGGCCTTGCCGGCTCATGATAAGTGCAAGAAGTGCAGCTGTTTTCTTTATGAAGTGGGGTGGCCCCTGGGGGCTGCTGCACGCAGAAGGTCGTCAGGGCCGCTACTCACATCCAGGTGAGGCGCTGCGGAGAGAGGAGAGAGGACAGGGACGTAGGGGGTGGACGGACTTACCAGAGCTGGGACTGGCTGGGCAGAGCTCGGCGCTGACCCCCACTGCGAGGGAGATGGGGCACGAAATCTTCCTAGCGTCCAGGAAGAGGACGATAAAATGGGATTTGATGAACATATAAATTGCCTCTGCCCTGCAAAGAGTAAATGCCCAAAGGGAAATGGTGGTGTAGAGACAAAATTAAGGCGAAAGTGATGCCAGGCGCGGTTTGCACATTAATCTTCTCTCCTGTGCAGTCCCTGCTCGCGTATCCTGCCCAGCCAGCCCTCCACGGCCATGGCGACTTACGGCCAGACGCAGTACAGTGCGGGGGTCCAGCAGGCCGCCCCCTGCACGGCGTACCCACCTCCGGCACAAGCCTACGGGTTCCCCTCTTACGGTGAGTACCAGCCCCAGCCCTGGCTTTTCTCCTGTGGTCGCCGTCGTCACGGCCTTCTGCGCTTTGCCGAGTGACGAATGCAACCTAAGTTTAGATTGGAAACAAGGAGAGGACCTTCTGTTCAGTTCACCTTCTGCAGACGATATTGAGATCTCTTTCGATTGCAAGAATAAGAAACTTCTCCCTCTCTTCTACCCTGTCCTTCATTCACTCATTCATTCATTCACTGCTGGGCCACATGCTGGACGTAGAGTGGACAGCAGAACATGAA